CCTACAAAGGGGAACGAAAACAATAATTAGAAATACAAATTAAATAATTAGAAGTACACAAAGGTTTATATATTATACATCCATTATCCAATCTTCCCATTGTATCTCTTTAGACAAGAGGAGTCAGACCCAAGCTATAAATGGAAGCTATTTAAAACTTTCAAAACCTATGTACCTTGCAATGTTTTACACTACGATGAAACAGTCAAAAGTAAAAAAAATAAAATCAGTTGATGTGTGCTGAAAATGAATACGAGTTTTCTTGAGTACTTTTTCCGCTTATGAGTTCACAAAAACCAAACTAGACAGCAAAACACAGTCACAAGGTTTCAATAGCTAACAAGGTGATAATTAGGACATTAGCAGTCACATTTCCACTCTATTCATAGAATATGAACCTATCCAAATAGGAAGATCAATGACCACCTTTATAAATTACCTTCCAGTATTAACAGCCTTCCTTATGAGTTTATATATACAAGAGTCACAATTTCTGATTCTCTAAGTCTTTTTTGCTCAAGGAATGTTCCATGGACCTCAGCTGTACATTTGTTTGAAATGTAGAATCTCAGGAATAACCTCAGAACAATGGAATTAGAATCTGAATTTTTAAAAGATCCTCAGGTGATTCATGTGGTTGCTCAACTTTGAGGAGAACTGGTGTAAGTATCCTCATTCATACTTAACAGATGATAGCCATGCCTTTACAGCAAGCAGTGTGTAGGTATGTGTATATTATAATTTTCAACATTTTGTTCTGAAACGACTTCAGATTTATGCAAAACCTGCCAGACTGTACAAAGTCTGACCTCAAATATTTACACTGTACATGATCATTATATAATTATCACACTCAGAATTGATTCAGGACTGAGGTGTAGCTCAGTGCAGAGTGCTTCCCTGGCATTCATGAGGCACTGAGTTGGATACACAGCACCACTAAATAAATAAAATATGGCAAAACTGATTCAATAGCATATTTGTACACTTTATTGAAATTTCACAAAATGTCCTATTGATAGTTTTATTGTATTATTTATTTTGATCCAAGGCCCAATCTGGGACCACATGTCTCCATTAGTTGTGACTTCAACTTACTCTCCATTAATCTAAAATAATCTAGAGCAGTGCTGTTCAATAGAATTTCCTGTGATGACGGAAACATTTTACATCTATACTGTCAAATTCAATAGCCACTAGGTACACATGGCTACTGTAAACTTGAAATGTGGCTAGAGCAACAGGGAGACTGAAATTAATTTTATTTCACTGTAGTTCATATAAATTTAAAGTTAAAGTCATAATATTTTAACATGAAAAACACAAATATTTTCACCTGAGATATCCTAGTTTCAAAATCTCTTTAAAGCAAAGTCCAGTGAAAAGTCTTCTAGTGAGAATACAAGGAAAACACTAACAGTACTTGTCATAATTCTGATTGCCAGGTCACACATGGCCTTAAATAATTCAGCCCAATCCAGCTTCTCAAATTTTATCACCTATTCCCTCCCCTTCCATCGGCAGTACAATCACCATCCCACCTCAGTGGACTCCTGTCCATCCCTTGATTGGTACCAACCTCTCATATGGCCAGGTGTTTAACCATGCACAGGCATCTCTCCCTCGTGGGCAGGGTGACCATGTAACTCACTGTCCACCAGTCACACCTTTGAGGAGGAAAGGAATGCTGTTAATAATTACATGGAAAACCTGGACTGATTTGGGAAAACAGATGTACCCTGCTTATGGATCTTTCTCCTTAGGTGAACTTATGTTCCTATAGATCAAAGACAAATGTCATTTTTCAGGAGAGTAGGTTCTTACTCTCATGTAGCTTTAGAAAAATGGAAATGGAAACTAAAGAAATAGACAAATTAATAAATGAGAAATGAAAGACAAAGTTTTGGAGAAAACTTTAAAACTGGACAAAGTGATGTGAGGTATCTGGGAAGAGTGATGAGAAGGGCCTCCTGGAGGAGATGACATTTGGCTGGACAGATTGATGTCCTCAGGCTTTCCAAGATGTGGGGACAGAATGGTCCTGACCGATGAGAGCAAAGCCATTGGGCCTTTGCTGTGTCAAGGAAACAACCTGATAAAAAGGGGAATCCACTGAAGATTGTAAGCAAGGGGACAATGTGATCTCATTCATAGTTTAGAAAGATAAGGACTATGGACCAAAGTCAACTGAGGATGGGGAGTGGAGTATGTGTCTTGGAGAGAACAAAATTAGTAAGGGCAGGAAAAGGGAAGTGCAGGTACCAGAAAGGGCAATCCTCACACCTGCTTCAGAAGAGAGGCCCTAGAGATGGTGCCAAGAATCAACAGTGCCAGCACATGCTCACAAGGAACAAAGGGATTTCCCTAGAACTCCAGGGAGATCAAAGGAAAATAACAAGAAGACCTGACATTTGAGAAATATAGTCTAGTTGAGGAAAGTGTAATGTAGAATTTACTTTTAAACATATTCATTATGATTAAAATTTATCTCAGGCTAAGTAAGGCTCAGTGGGAAGAGAGCTGACTTGACTCTGTAGTGGAAGAGGTAATTTGGGTTGTTGGATATTTCCTCTCTGCAGAAATGCTCCAGGGAAATGATCATTTTGCAGTCTATATTTTCTGGGCTCTCTATTGTGTTCTGTGTATCTTTGTGTCTATCATTTTGCCAATAATGCTGTCTTGATTTATAGTCTTTATAAATACTGTACTCATAATCTAAGATTTTACTGTACCTAGTTTTAGAACAAGTCTTACAATCAGGCAGTGTGAGTCCTCTGACTTTGTTTTTTCTAAATTATATTCCCTATCCTGAAATTCCAGTTTTAAAAATCTCATTTTAGTATTTTGTAGAAACATTTTTATTCTTCTTATATATAGCTGGTTCATTTACTTTTATCTAGGAAAAAAAAGAAAAACTAAACAAAAAATGTTTTGGGCTGCAAGTGACTGAATCCTCAATTTCGGTGCCTTAAGCAGAGGGGCTTTATGTTTCCCCATATAAAAGAAAGCCTGAATCTAGATGTCAGCTAACATTGGTCCAGCTGTTCTACAATGTCAGAATCAGCTTCTCTGTTGTCTCTTGGCCTCTTCATTATGGTCACAAAAATGACAGCTATAGCCCCTTCCATCTTAACCATTCAATGTACATAAAAGAAAATATGGGGAGAGATGATATGTCTCCTTATCCAGAGTTGTATCAAATGACCTCTTTGACCTGCAAGAAAGCTGCACTTTTGTTTTGCAGCCAGTACTACAGGTTTAGACCAGAAAGAATGAGGTTGATATGAGTGTTGGGAGTGCTAATGTATATAGCATTGGCCACAATAATTGATGAGCAACTATAGAAAAAAAGAGTTTTTTGATGAGCTCTTTCTCCACTAAAAAATCAGCAGAGGAAAAGAAGGGAAAGGAAAAATTATGAGAAAAGGAAAAATATGGAAACAAAATCTATGTAAATAGGGAAGAGTGGAGGGGGTGAAGGGTGCACAGGTAATGGGGAAAAAAATAAGAACCAAGATACATCATGTACAGGTACAAGTACTCAATAATAAATGTAAATGTATTGTATGCATAAAGTGTACCAATAAAGGGATTTAAGGGAAAAAAAGATAAATAATCAAAACAAATAAAGACCAAAACATTCCTGGGGGTGCACATACTGCTGGGACACACCCTGCACCCTACAGTCAAAAATTTCCCTGAGGATACAGATTGTAAAAGCAATGAAGTGCACACAGTGTAGTTAATATTAAACAGTAGAGACTATCAGAAGGGTATTAAGAAATCATCTACCCAACCCACAGTTCTTTTAACAATCTGGTATGGCTAGTAAAAAAAGCTGAATGTCTCATAAAGTAACTATAGATCATAGAGAGTTAAATAAGGTGATGCAGCTGGACTGTATCAATGGTGGTGACTCATGAGAAGAGACTACTACCTATCTGCACAGATGCTTGTGTGGTCTTTAGAGGACTCACACCAATGAACGGCCCAATGGGAAAAAAGGAACACTGGCAGGTGCATGGTAGGCCACAATGGATGTGGAGGGGAATAGATTTTTAAATACAAAATCAGACAGAGGCACTGATAATCTTCCATGAAACTGCCCATGGCCCACTAAGTACCCTAAGTAATCAAGAGGCTGATGTCCACACACACACACACACACACACACACACACACACACACACAAAATCAGCAGAGAAACCAGTGATAAACATTCCATCATAAGCCATATCCCTTTCCTTCTCAAGGCTGCATAGCAACCATCGCAGTGACCTCTGAATCAGCCTCTTTCTGCCACAAGACTCTATTCTCCCCCTGCATTCTGCAGCCTTTACAGAACCTGAGGAGCCACAGAGACTAGCTAGAAAAATAAACCTAATCTATTGCTAATGGACAAGAGTGACATTATGATGGGAAAACTGGATAGTGCTCTTTAATACACTTTCAAAGAAAGACTGTTGGAATTCAGTGCATGTCTATGAATTGCCCATTTAAATCCTAGATGGGGAAAACTGGGCTTGTCCTCTTTTCTCTCATTCTCTAACATTTGCACGATTCCTATGTGCCAGGCACTGGGAGTGTTTATCTTTCCTTCTATCGTGCTCATCTTTCCTTCTATCGTGCTCTGTCCTATTTTCTTGGATTGTTTCTCTCTCCAAATGTATATAGAAGTGTGTGTGTGTATGTGTGTATTTATAAATGAATATATCAAACCTGCAGAAACAAGAGCACCATAACTTCAGTTCTTTCCAGCCTCATTCTACATCCCTGAAAAGCACTACTCACACCATTTAAACAGGAAGGACTGTAAAGGTATGAAATGACTGAGATGCAAGATACCTGTGAGGACTGCTGCTTCTCCCAACATTCATGCATTTATTTACCTAATGGATACTTACCGAGCCCATTTGCTAGATTCTGGGAATACTGTAGAGAACGTACACACATAGTCTCTACCTTCATTGAGCTTATATTTGTTGTGGGACAACGTGTTTTGAAATGGACCAATGTTATTATCTCTCAACATAACACTTTTTTTCTGCCCTGATTCAATTTATGTGGCTAGGCTGTGCTCATTGTCTCAAGGGAGAGTTGTAATAAACAAAAAAACAGGGATGCTTTAGGGCAGTGGTGGTGAACTTATGGCCTGTGTGCCACTGCAGGATATTTATATCATTGAAAGTGCTAAAAGATTCACCATCACTGCTTTAGGGGGACAGAAATGACAGTAGGTGAGGCTGAGAGTATAGCTCATTGTTGGAGAGTGTGCTTAGCATGCACAAGGCCCTGAGTATTATCCTCAGCACAAACAGGAAAGGAGAGAAAAAGAAACAGAATTGGCATCAGGCATAAACAAAATGTTAAAATGAAGAGAGCTTTACCTCTCTCAGATAACACACCAGATGTAAAGAGTCCCCCAAGCTGAAAAGGAGAGAGAATTGCCACAGAGAGACCAATGAGAATAGGAGGAGGCAATGCAGACTTGCATAGGACCATGGTGAAATACTAAATATATCTGCCAAGGACCAGAGTGAGGAGAGCTTGTGAGCAGCCAACAACAGATGGTAGCCAAGGGGGAATTTGCCAACTGGTAGGGAGCACCATCCATTGCCCACACTTGAGCATATACCAATCATCCTTTCCCTGGGCATCCAAATTCCATGTTTACCTTGTCTTCCCAGGCACATGTTAGGCTATTTCTGTCTTCTTTGCCATAGATGAAGCCGTAGCATAAACCAGTGAGCTCTGGCCAATGGAATGTGGGAGGAAGTGACACACATTTCTTTCACAATGACTGATTCCATTTCATTCTTTTATGTCACCTATTTCCTATTCTGCCAGATATAAATGATGGACTCTAAGGCCTGAAGAAGGGTGAATGAGTTAAGATATACTTGAGGATTCAGATGGAATAGCAGCTCTTGCATTCAATATCTTTAAATATTTAAGAGGTTAGAACAAGTAATAGGTTATTTGGGACTTTTTCTATACTAGACTTTCTAAGGGATGAAAGATGTGGAAAACAATAGCAATAGCACCTGCCCTGAGGTCATCACTGCCACCATTTGAGCAGAAAGGTTTGGAGGAGATTAGAGGTTGCAGGGAAAACTGAGCTTGGACTCAGAAGGTCATAGCCCAACTGAATAGGTTACTATGTCCCTCCAATATGTTGTCATGCTTACCTAACAAATAAGAACTTCCCTTAGACATGATCTAAGCACTTTAGGGAAAAGCAGTACTCAAATAATTTCATTCTTTGCCTACTCTGATTATTTATTAACAATAATAGTAAAAAGAAGAATAGTGAACATTATGAAGCTCCTTGTTGCTAGGCCCTTGCTAAGCAATATACGTGTATTCTCTTATCTTAGGACTCTGGGGAAGAGGTACTACTATTGCCCTGTTTATTAACAGTGAGGCTTAGAGATTAGTCCCTTGCCCAAGGTCATGTCCCAGAACTTCAGTAGCATGTACTTAAACCAAGCTCTGTCCTGACTCTAGTCCAGGCTCCTAGCCTCCTATCCATGCAGTGTTGTGTTGAGGATTCTGAAGATACACTTGGGCTCATCTGGGAAAAATCAGGTAGATGTGGCTGATGAGTCATGTGTTCAACACCTCTACATCAGTACTAAGTGAAAGTAAATGCTAGAATGCCTTTTCACTAGCTATCTTTCTGTAAAGTGAATGCCTTATCATATGCTGCCTTATTTAAAAAAGATAAATCATTATGGCTTGCATCTAACAGAACTTTAAAAAAGAGAAGTATAAGTATACTTTATAATTTTTGTAGGATATCTTTATGAACTGAATATTTCTTTCCCCTAAAAATTCTCCAGGTGAAACCCTGCCAGAAACGTGGTGGTATTAGGACAGGAGGTGGGGCCTTGGGGAGATAGTTAGGATTTGAAGAGTTCTATTGGACTAACACCTTTAAAGGAGTCACTTAGTGCCTCTAGAACTGTGTGAGATAAATTGTTTTTAAAAGCCACCCAGTCTGTGGCACTTTGATAGAAAAGCCTGAACAGACTGAGATAATATATTCATAATCTAATGACTGGCTACATTTTTCAGGCTAATTAACTAGAAATAGTATTATTTAAAGAATCTAATACCCAGGGGCCTCTAGATATGTTAACACTAAAATTCTGAAAATATCATGAAAGATTAAAAACCTTCTTTGAGAGGCTCTTCTCTTCAGAGTTCAGCTGGAGAGTCACATCGTGCTGGAAAATGGTTCTGGGGCTAAGCTAAGCTCTGAACTGTCAGGTGAAAGTCTGCCTGGAAACAGAACCACATTGTCTCTGGATGGAATGCTAACTGGTGTAAACATTTTGGTTCCTGATGTTCTCATGAGCAAGAACTCTTTAAAATACGAACGTGATTTTCTTCTCCTCAAACCCTCCTCTTAACCCTAGTGCAGAAAAATGTTTATTCTCCACACATTATTTGCTTTTCTATGTGCTGCTAAATGCGTTGGGACATTACACTTGATGGATCTCTCATTGAGAAGTTGCCAGCAACTGAAAGATAATTAACTTAGTCTTCCAGGCACATAAAAACAGAGGGTGGACAATGCACAATTCATTGGAAATAGTGGCAACTGCTCATATGTCAGTGAAATTTTCTGGGGTTTTGAGCAACTCTGTGTCTTAAAGAAGTCTTTGTGAAATAGAATTTTTTGTTGAAAGGAGATGCATATTTATCTGTATAAAAAAAGAAAGAAGGAAAGAAAGAAAGAAAGAAAGAAAGAAAGAAAGAAAGAAAGAAAGAAAGAAAGAAAGAAAGAGAGAGAGAGGAAGAAAGAAAGAAGAGAAAGAGAGTGGGGTGGGCCAACATAGGTGTCTTAGCTAGCTTGGGCTGCTATATCCAAATTCTATAGACTGAGTGGCTGACACAATAAGCATCTGTTTCTCACACCTATAGAGGCTAGAAATCTGGCATTCATATGCCAGCAGATTTGGTGTCTGGTAAAACCTTTTTTCCAAGTTGTAGAACACCAATTTTTTGTATCATCACAGGATGAAAAGAAAGCTCTCTGACTTTTTCCTCTAAGGGCACTAGTACAATCCATAGCAGCTGTACTCTTGTGACCCAATTCCTTCCAAAGGCTCCACCTCTAAATACTATCACATCAGGTATTAGATTTCAACATATGATCTTTGGAAATGACATAAACATTCAGTCAATAAAAACAAGAATCAACAAATATTCATAAGATGTCTACTTGGTCAGACACATGGCCAAACTCTGAGGATATAAAGATATATGAGACCTAAGGGAATTGGTAGTCTGATAAGAGAGGAGAGGAGACTTTATATAGCAACTCTTACAGCAAGCAAAATATATATGTGTGTGTGGGGTGTGTGTATTTTACAAAGTTGCATTCCCTAAATCAATAGCATCAACATCAGGTGGAAACTTGTTAGAAATGCAAACTCTCAGTCCCTACTCAACAGAGTCAGAAACTGTGGGTGGAGCCTAGCAATCACCTTCCAGGAGGTTCTGATATACATTAATGTTTCCTATGACATTCAATCCTATAGCATAAATAGAAACAAAGAAAAGGAAGAACAGGCCTGTACAGTAGTCAAGAAGTAGTGGTATCAATTATACCAAAACATACTCTTTGGAAGAAAAGGAAAGGAGGAGGGTAGCTTGAGATGACCCAAATAGAGTTTGGCCCCTCTCAAAGAATGAACTTGTGCCACTCTTTCATTCTGAGTGTCCAAGAGCAACCAACTCAAAGACAGTCTGGAGCCTTCTCGTTGTGGATACAGGATGAATTGATGCTCTTCCAAAACCCAAACTGAGACATAATTGAAAAATGTGGTTATTAAACACCTGCTTGTTCATCATGTGAATTTAAGGACATTTACTGAGGTCATATCTTGGCATATGGTCTGCTTCCTCCTCAGTGAAGTTGCTGGCAACATAACTGGTCACAGCTTGGTATGCTGTATTAGCACTAGCATGAGAATTTAAGGAATGCCAAGCGGTGCCAGCCAGTCCATCTGAGATTTCTGGCTGAGAGAGGCTTCAAGGGGGACTGAAGACAGAGTTCTTTAAAACTTGAAATTACAAGTGAAGGATATAAACACCCACAAAACCTCTCTAATCTGAGTATATCTTGAATGGATGACCTAAATTACCTTCACGCAATTTATACTTTGTCTTTTTTATACTTATACTTCACTTCTCAGGGTAGTGATTTCTTTTAATTGACTTTCTATGCAAAATAGGACAACTTATCTTTCTATTAATTTTAATTCTTCTAGTTTTGATCTTTAAAGAAGTCCCCCAGTTCTAATAAACAAAATTTGATAAACAAGATCTGTTCAAATTTTATGAACTTTGTGCATATCTCAATAGCCTTTTATTTTACAGACTTGAAACAGTTTTAGTTTTCTCTTGAAAAGAATTCACTTGGAAAAAAGAATTAGACTTGAATCCAGATTGTCTGCACTTGAATTCCAGCTTTCCCACTTCCTAGCTAAATGAATTTAGGTTCATTTCTTCATCTATGAAGACAATACCAACAAATAAGCTCCTGGGAACCATCTCACAGATGCCAGCAGCAGCCACAACCCACCAGACCACACCACTCAGCTGAGGCACCGGGGAGGTCATAAAGGCCATGGTTATGAGCCCCAGAAGATAGAGCAGAACTGAACAACAGAGAGGCCCTATCTGAGGCTCCTCAATGAAAATTAAAGCCCACTGGGAAAGTAAAGAAAATCTCTTCAATAAAAGCACACTGGACCATCGTGGTTGGTAAGTTGGTGGGACCAGCACCTCCCATAGAAACTTGGACTCGCTTAGCAGGGAGGACAGCTGGAACCTGCAGTAGAACCTTGCAGAGTTTAATCCTGCAGGAGGTCAGGGAACTCAATTTGGACCTTGCAGCCAGAAATCAGCCTGAATCTCAATAGACTACAGCTGGCATGCTGAGACTAATCTACTTAATCCCGCATACTGCTGCCCACATTGTCTACCAGGACAACAGAGACATATCCTGAGGGAGACCTTTATATTTCCTTTTCTTTTCTCTCTCTCTCTCTCTCT